GCCGACATTATGGGAATTCCTAGATTGAAAACTACATGTATTTCAATTTTAGTATATTTTCTTCCTTTAGAAGTTTATGTGGACTCAAACGGTTAGTTCTTTCAGTCACACTCTTTTTGTATAGTATTTTACTTTTGAACAATAAAACATCCATACATTCATATAGAAATACAAAGAGTTTTTTAATTTGTTTAATTGTTGTCCTCCCATTCTTTTAATATTTGGGCCCTTCAATAAGATGTTAACGTATAATTAACTTCAAATGGACTGTTACACAACGCTTCACCTATCAAAAAACATGAAAATTCAAAAGAACATGAAACCAACACAGAACAATTGAACTCTAAATATATGACATACAAACTGGATGGCCATCAGTCCTAGATATGAAAAATTGTAACTGTGAACTTGTTGATTAAAGTTCTGACAATCTACAGGGCCATTTTCCTAACAAAATTATCAAAACTAGTCACAGATCTCAAAAAGAAGCTCTTTGAGTTGATGGAACATTCCATTCCTGGAAACAAATTATTATACAGGGTGTCCAAAAAAAACAGGACCGTAAGAAAGTTGAATAACTCGGTCAATTTTGTGAATTTCGTTCTGAAAGTTTGATGGTAATCTGTTTATTGTGTCAAAAACTACAGTCCTTTACAAAACATGCTCAAAGTGGGCACTTCTCTCTATGCACAAACGAATCCTGCGAACAAAGTTGTTAATGACCCTTACCTATACACATTAATGTGGATGATAAATATTGGGGTAGTTATTGCCCTCTTAAAATTGTTAGGGGCCTCTCAGTATACAAATTGGCTTTGAGAAATCCTCAAAGATAAAAATTTGGGGGATTTAGATCAGGCGAATGAGCTGCCCAAATGGTTTGCATTCTGCAACTGATGAGCTGACCACCAAAGCATTGCCTAAACCATTTCAGCATATCATTTGCAGTGTTGGGGTGGTATTGGCTTGTTGAAACCACTGCTTAATTATCTCCTTAGATGTCCCTTCTGGTGCTTAGTGACCTCCAAAACTTGGTGAGAAGTTACTGGTCCTTGTTCATGGTGATAGCAAGTCCCCAGTCACCTTCGAACCAAAAGGGACTGATGATTCCATGTTTCCTCATTGCCACCCAGGGAGTACATTATTCAGAATACAATGGATGCTGTAACACTTCATCATGAGGATGTAAGCCCCAGGAGCAATTGTTCTTGGAACAAACTTGTCCATTCAGAAAGACATGTGTGCAGGAGGATCATCAACAGCTTTGTTCGCCGGATTGAATTGTGCATAGGGATGAGATTTGCACATTTGGGGCATGTTTTGTAAGGAGCTGTAGTTTTTGACTCAATTGGTTATTATCAAACTTTCACAACAAAATTCACATTGAATGAACTAAATAATTCTGAAATTTCAAGGCAAAATATGTAAAATTGCCCGAGTTATTCAACTTTCTTACGGTCCTGTTTTTTTTGGACACCCTGTATGACCAACAAACAAGCAATTATATAAACAAATCGGATAAACGAAAAAGCAAGCAAATGGTATTTCTTTTTACCTTAGGATTCTCTAGGGGAGACGTGAACTCTCCGTCCAAAATGTATTTCTATACACCTCGAATCTTCAAAAATGCACCCTACTGCTTCTTATAACGGGAACTTCACTGATGAAGTTTAACGCAGAAAAATACTATAGTATTTTTTGCAAGCTTTTTAGTGCTTCCCGGTTATTTTTCTACCTTGACCCACAGATTTAAGACACATTTTGGTGTAAAAACCTAGGTGATTGAAGTAGAGTGGCAAAGTTATGATAGTCGGAAGTTGATGCCAATAAAAATAAAATTCTTAAAATATTGATAATTACCTTGTTTCCTATATTGTAGAAAATGCAAAGTGATCATTATTGCTCTGTTTGATAGATAACCATTTATCCCATTGAATTCCCCTTTCCAACTTACTTTATTTCATGAAAATTGAGCCACGATTGACTATATCTTAGTATTATGAATATATAGTTAAAATAAAGTTAAGTGGTACATATTCGCAAATCGCGTTCTCCTTACGAATTTGAGAGAAAACGTTTTTTTAAACTTCATGATGAATACCTTTGGAATACTTTTGCACATTATTGAATGTTCGTGAAAACTGTGGTATAATATAATGGTTATAATGATAACCCTCTCCAACTTTTAGATATAATTTTTTATTCTCCCCTACCCCCCATTTTTCAATTTCACTAATTTGATTTATATTCCGTTGCTATGTGGTTGCTAGGCAAAATAATGGACCGAAATTATGTTTGAATAATACCAAGTCAGGCATTTCTCAATTTACTTACTGAATCATTGATTGTGTAGTACAACTAAAGACAAAAACAAGTTGAACTTGAAATTGTTGATTATTCAATATTGTAAACGCGAAACTAATTTTAGCGGAATTTGGTGATACCTACTATCTTTGAAAGTGTATAAGTTCAGTTCCAGAAAAGGTATTACCTTGATTTTTATTTTATTTGAAAGATGATAGATTATTCAGTAAAGAATTTAATGTTCAACATGCTTTATTTATTATCTATTTTCTTTATACCAAATCACTGATTGCTGCTTGTAGTACATTTTGAAAAGTGGTATCATATCCATGGGCGTAGCGCCTATTACGCAAAATACGCACAGGCGTACCAAATGAATTTGAAAAAAAATAAAAATGTGTTAAAATGCATTAATTTATTTGCAAATTTATTGATGCTTCCTACCGCATCTGTATTTTTACCATTGTCAACATATAAAGTTGATAAAAACGCTTAGATTCCATCCAAATTGGACATATTGATATGTCCAATTCTCCATACAAAGATAAAAACAAGTTGAACTTGAAATTGCTGATATTCACTACACGTTCCATTTATTTCAATGTGTTTTCGCGATACCTGCTATCTTTGAACGTGCATAAGTTCAGTACCAGAAAAGGTATTACCTTGATTTTTGTTATTTGAAAGATAATAGATTACTCTTTAAGGTAATATAGCAAATTAACAATGTATCACAAGATGTTAATTAAAATAAGGCCTTAAAAGGCTCATTTACGTCCCAAAAGCTAATTAATCGGACCCTTAATCGATTGCCCCCCTCAGATCCGCCAGTGCACAGACTACAGTAGAGAGTGGAACAAAACTTCACTAAAAGCATGTCAATGTAACCTTACAATCCCAATTCTATTTTCTGAAAAACAATTGAGATACACCTAACATAAAATTTATGGAAGACTTTATCATGTTTATGGCGGCATTTGGGAAGTGTCCCTTTACATTTTTTTATATCCATTTTTGGCCGGGCTAGATAAGAAATCGAAGGATTATCCCGAAATAAAGCTAGAAATGTTTGACTATGATATGAAATAAAGAGATAAGAGCAATGAATATTGTAAAATCAACAATTTTTCGAAACTTCTCTTGCTCGTATCGTCTTTTTGCCACTTAAAATATAAGCGCTCTACTGTAGATCCATTACAAAATTACCAACTAAGGAGAATTTAAACATTTTAAAAAGACGGTAAGTAACTTGACAAACAAATCCGACCTATTGGCCCCTTCCCCGAGCCCCCTCCCTAGGTGGCTCAAAAATACTTTGGGGAACAACTTTTTTGTAGAGCCTAAATTAGTTTGCCATTTTGGGCATTACTTGGGCTTTTGGATATTTTTTTAATTTTAGGCAAATCTATCAAAAATGGGCATAAATTTCAGATTTTTGGGTTATAGGGACCACGGAAAATCAAGTATTTTATTTTTGACTTTAAATGTGCCCCCTTGTTAGCAGTCTGGATCCCAGTCCGTTCAGCGCAATTTTGCCGCTTCACCTAGTGTTTGAAATTGCCTAACCGAATGACATTTCAGACAAACAAATGTTTACAAACAATGTAAAGATTTTTCCGAATGGTCTTGAAATGAGACTTGATTTACGTTTATTTCTTCGGCAAATGCTTTGAGATTAATCTTGATTTTTGACATTTCTCTTAGAAAGTTTCTCATGATAACGAACAAGCCTACAAATGCCCTCTATTCCTATACAGTTGCAATTTATGTTAGTATTTGAACATGTCAATCTACAAAATTCGATATAATCTACTGTAAAACATTTTTGTGCTTACTAAAACGCTAAAAAGAAATCATCATCAATGCACAACCATAAACAATATGAATATGCCTTGTTGGATGTTCTTTTCGTTAAGATCACTTATTCTGAATCAAAGAAGTAGTAACATATTGTTACGGCCATTTTATGTCCAGTGATCACTATTAAACGCAATCGCTAAAGAATAAATAAGAGTGCTCAACTAAAAGAGAACTTTACATGAGAGAGATCAGATAGATGCTCTAATGCAATTTCTCTCTTGGCTGTCAATCAAGTTTAAAGAGCACTCCCGAACAATGCCGAACATTCCCGACTGATCGCACCTTGCTCGCACCTGCATAAATTAGTGAAACCGACAAATAATACGCTTGTTTTTAGTCACGTGATACTAAATTCTTATGAATATTTAATTTCCGTGCGCTTGATTGGTGCTCGGCAATTTCCGGACTTCTCTGTGACAAGCGAAAACTTTTCATCAACAGCCGCCATTTTGAGGAATATAGCCTTGGAATTATTAGTTTTCTTCCATGGATTGTATGCTCTTTGGTCATGATAGTTAGGCAGAGACCTTATAGGATTTTAGTTAGGATATAGGATAATATTCTCAGTAAGGATTAAATCGTATATAGTCGGATATATGGACAAATATTGGTTTCAACGCTTCACCTAGATTCGGCTTTGTGCTTCAGCAAATTCGTCAAAACTGCCGATAATCAGACAGTCTAAAGATGCCTTGAATATTGTCTTAGGAAGCCATCCGTGCGTTGGGATATATATTGTGCTTGCAAAATGTATATTTTATGGACAAATGTGGTGCAGATGCGGTTTTAAAGCCAAAATATAAATTTGAATTTGGATCATTTTTATGTACACAAACATGGCCGACCAACAACTCGTGGATGGGCCCCCGAATAAAAGACAAAAATTGTCATCGTCGGGTCTGATAACCCCGGGAGATGGCGGTAAGTAGCATATATTCTTTGCATTAGACTTCTCTGAAAGTCCTGAAACTTTGATACTGATACGATTGTGTGGACGCTCAAAATTTGAATTTTAGATCATTTTTCACATTCAATTTTTGGCTGTTTCGTTTGTTTGGAAATCGAAGGTGAATAAGTCTATCATATTCAAGAACATTTGAAGCCTAGCCACTTGCTTAGCCTATACCCCTTCCAACTTACAGAGTGGTTTCTGATTTAGTTCACCTATGAATTTGAATGAATGATTATTTTGGAATGAATGATTATTCTTCAATGGACAGTTTGACAAAATCTAGGAGGCTGATTTAGGCATTCATGCCTTTCACGGACACCTAAATTTGGGGTATTACTAAATACCACCTAGGTGTCCCCTTGGGCACCTGGATTGCTAATTCCATTTTAAACCACGTACACATTTTAAATATAGTATTATTTCCTTTGTCATATTAACTTGACATTATATAGGCTTAAAATAATAATTTGTAGTCGAGAATATAGCAAAGAAGATTCGAAAATAAAATGTAAAAAGCTTTATTGTTCATAGAAAAATGGGCACCTGGAATTTTGCTCATATGTATGGTTTATTTGTAGTAATAAAACACCATTAATGCTAAAGCGTGCATTTATATTTGAAATATATATATTGTTCTTACTTGTTGCTAAAATAGTGAATTTGTAGCATTTTATAGTGAGCAAATAATGAAATATTATTCTTACAGATGACTTTCTCGACATCGATCAGAATTTTCAAGACAATTAAAAATATCATAAACAGAAATATTTACATAAGTTCCACGAAAATACTTTATTATGTACCATATTAACACTAGGAAAAATGTTATCTTGAAATAAAGTAGAAAATATGCCAGTAAGGCATTTCAATGGGGACACCTAGGTGTGGGGCACCTAGGTGGTATTTAGCACAACCCTAAATTTGTTCATCTTCTGCTTCATATGTAAACTAGACATCTATTAAGTGTTATTTACCAAGTAATCGCATTAGGTAGATTCAAAACAAAAGAGAAGAGTTGAAATGTTATCTTCATAAATTGACCAATGATGATATGATTCAATTTGAAACTGAAAATATCATGGATAATCTCTGACCTATTTTATCTGAGACATTTGTAAATTAGTTACAAGCACAACTTATATCGACAATTTTACAAAGCTTCTTGAATCTGACCGATAAATAGCAAAAAAATCAAGTACATGTATTCCCAGGTGTATGAATGTAGGTTGCTCTTCCGAGTTTGGAGTATATAGCTCTCTAAGCTAAACAGATTCTATTAATTTAGCTTAATACTTATCGCTTGGACTGAAAGATACGTGTTATAAATGTTTATGTAAATTTTATTGTCATCTTTCTTAGAGTAAATATGAAAAAATGATGTGAAAATCATGCTTATCAATACTGCTGCGTGAGTTAAATATTTGTCCCATCCTGAGTGCTCTCCCCATGATGTTTTTGTGAAAAGTTTCATTATTCTTCTCACAAGAATTTAACTGAAGGTACAGTACTGGTAGTAATTTCTGGGTAATTGTAATCTTTATTTCAAGGTTACTCATTAATTTATTATCTGGAAGTGTTAAGAAGCAAGTTGTATGCATGTTAGTTTATTATGTCAGGTGAAAGATGTGATTGAAACAGAAACATCTTCTTGTAATTTCAGAATTTTTTGGGAAGCTCTATGATTTGGAGACTGAATTACCAGATGATTTACTGGGTGGATCTGATGCTGGAGGGAATAATAGTCAACCCTCTGCAGCAACCATTGCTCAACAACAACATGAGACTACTCAACGTAACCAGCAACTTTCTCAGCTCCTTTCCAGTGACTCACCTACACCTTCAATACCAAGTAGTCAGACAGCACTTGCAGCACAGAAAGCTGGACAAGTCCCCAATCCTCGATCTAGTGCAGCCATAAATTCTAACACTAATTTAAACAATTCATTGAAAAGTCCTCTAACAAACAGTCTGTCATCACCGCCAGGTATCAGTCAAGGTGGTAAAAATGCACCTCCTGGACAAATGAATGTAGACAGCTCTCTTACGAGTACAGCATATAGCTTATCAAACAATGTAAATTTCAGTCTCGCCAATACATTAGTTAATTCAATGAACTCTATAAATTCTACAAAACCAATGAATTCACAAGCAAGTATGAACAATTCTATGAACACTTCAGCGGGTAATGCACACCCAAATTCAATGATGAATGGGCCGAATGGACCACATTTTGGCAATCCAGGCCAAAGGACTGTAAGCTTACAAGGAAATCTAATTGGGAATCTTGGTGGTACTGGTATAGGATCATCCCCTCACCCAGGAATGAATGCTCAAGCAAATATGTTAAAGGTAAGTGTACCATTTATTTATGTAATTGTTTCAATGCTCATGATTATATTCTCTTCACACAAATATTTGCGAATAAGAATTCAAATTCAGATGTCAACATTGTGTTTTTATCTTATATGCAGTTGCATGTATGCCCATTGATTCGCTTTCTCATTGAGCTAGAATGGCATTGTTATTACAGATTGTTTTTTGCTAAAGTAAACAATTAATGAACAACAGTATTTTCCTAAGTGGGGCAATTTCACATTGCAAGTGGGTAATCTAAATAATATTAAATTATATGGCCTTTTGTGTTCCAATGTTTTCTGCTATAATTTTATAAGCATGGCTTCAAAATCAACATAACTTAAACTATATAAGGGGCCATAGCTTTAAGGCACATTATACTGAATTAACAAAACTCTGTCAAAAATCTTTTTAGAATTTCATTGGTTGATTGATTAATCATTCAACAAGATGCAGTAACAAGGTCATTCTGACTATAAATGTTACTAATAAATGTATATCAAATTCTTTGAACTATTTTCATATTTCATTTTCATAGTAATTTTGGTCATATTGTGTTTAGTATGATATTGCCGGCCATAAAGCACCTAACTACACCACTGTATCTCAGCTGTATTGAATGTTTAAGGTTAAACACCTGGCCTTGAAACTAAAAAAACTTGCCTGGTGCTAAAATAGTGACCTGGCCAATCTCAGGGAGTTCTTTGCTTCCATTTTGTAGATTATGTGGGTTTAAAAATAAAACAGTGTTTTGTGGATTTGAATCTGTGAGGAAAAGGAAATGATTTTTAAAAATTTAGTACAGGTTTAATATGAACAGTTATGAGCTTTTTCAAGATGAATAGTGCAAATCACATCTGGTAGAAACAACAGGTAGTTATCATTTGAAATCTGGTAGCAAGTTGGCAATATGAATTTCAAGCCATTTATAATTGTCGAGCTATTTTGTATAGTGTGTCCAAAGATTGAACTAATTGTCTAGCAATACATGTAGTTCTATTTATCTGAATTTTTGAGGCCATACACTGATTATGTTGCACTGTCATTTGCTCTTAATATATGTTTAGCCAATATGCTTTGCAACTTTGATGTGTTGCCTAGTTTGGTTGTGCTGTCTTTGCAAATTTTGTATTGCATTGAATAGTATACCATGTTTCATAATTGTGGTGATTGTTAAAGTGGTACTCTGTATTACTTATGGTTCCTCTTGCCTTGGTTGTGATGTTGTTAGGCTGGTTGTGCCAGAATACTTAATACTTTGAACCAAATTGGACAATTTAAGAAAAACACTCTTTGTGATGACATATTGTTATAACCTCTATTTTTGTGACTTGCATTTCTATATATGTAGTATGGATTGTTGCAGTTTTATATAATTTGGAAGTGTGCAACATAGTGTTGATATATTGTCATAGTAATGCTTCATTTAATGATTTGTTTTCCAGCAAAACGGTCCATTAGGGGCAGGTGGACCTCTTGGAATGAATGGTCAACAAAACAGCCCATTCAACTTTAACTCACAGTCAGTGTCACAACAGAATTCTCTCTCTGCATCATCTCTGTCTGCCACGTTGAACTCTGTACCAACAAGCAGCCTGGGCTCACAAGTTGCATTGCCTAACACAACATTTGTGAACACATCTTCAGCATTGGTGAACTCACTTAGCTTGGGAAATATGACAACAGCTGATCTCAACAAGACAACACCTACTTTGAATAATGTAAGTAGAAAAATTACAAGTTTCTCGTCAATCATTAAAATCATTTTGTGTTGACATGAAATTAATATAGTCAAAATCTATCCATTTAAGTCTTATATCTATCCTTATTGGTACTCAATCTAGCTTGTAACTTTAAAAAATCAGTAAATGTACTTAGCTCTACTGCAGGCTATATGTAGTTTTAATGAAAATTACTTAAAGTTTATGCCATAATTTCTGGTTCAATTTTGAGTAGTTATAAGCCTGAACTCTTATACTACAGAAATGCCTACACTGTCATACTTTTAGTGAATCCATTAGATTGACCTAATTTTCTCTGGATATTGTTACATCAACCCATCTTCCTTCATCCAAACAAGTTATCAAACTTGTAGATTCTAATTCCTCCATTCAACTGTGACTTTGATGCAATTTTATCACAAGAATATGACACTGGATCAGGTACCTAGTTCAGAGGTCTAGAAAAGCTGTCGCCATTCACCAATTGCGAATATTTTTAGCACCTGGCGAAGGTCTTGATCTAAATATTCGCAAAGGTGGCAAAGATCTTTGTACAGAACCTACCTGAGAAACAGATAAATTATCGGGGATTCTTCATTTTCAACTTTCGTAATTTTTGTAATTTCACCCATGAGACGCCACAGTTATTTTTGTTTCAATGGAAATTTAACACGGGGCACCTTCACAAGACCTGTTGTGTTCGGTATTTTGATGAATCAATTGAGATGCCAAAACTTATTTTCGAGTAAATGAAAATTTAACATTAGCTTATATTCCGGCTGTTTCGTTCGTTTTTCTGATACATTCAATCTGTCTGTGTGTTGAGCTAAATATTTCAAAATTATGCCGGGACGATTGAGGTTTAGATGACGATTTTCAGATTCTGAAGCCGAGATTGACAGACTGATTGAAAAGTATCAGTAATAATGATTATCAGAAAAGACTATCAAGAATACAATCTACATAATCTGTAAAATATGTTTTTTGTGAAAATATAAGAAAATATTGTGGCTAATAATTTTTCAGAGTGGCTAATAATTTTTAGAAAACATTAGCCACATTAGCTAATAACTTTTCAACTTATCTAGACCCCTGACCTAGTTGCCAGTAGGTAGTTAACAGTGTCACCACTATATGGATAATAAGGTATAACAAATGTTGAATATTATGATGAAAATCAAGATTTTTATTGTATTTTCCAAGAATTGGAAGGGAATCCTGGAGAGTAAAATTAGACTGTTTTTTCTAACTCATTGAATTCAGTGGTTGTGATGAAGCACAGCAAAACTGTCTTAGTGAGCACCTGTGTTCAATATACACTGGTTTTACTGTAGATGTGACAAATCTACTGCAAGTGTTAATAAGTCTGTAAGTGCAAATATATTATAATAATTAGTCTCATCTTTTAATATTCTAGCTTTTGTACATCTAGCCACTTTTCTGATTCTGTCAATAAGTTTAATATTGTAATAATCATTTATTTATACTACAATGACCCAGATGCGAGTATGTAGTTACCAGTTTCACCACCAGGTGGCTCATTTGGGTCAGATAGCATGGCGGGTATAAACAGGTTCCAGTGAAGTTTGACATTTTTCCAGTTTGACAAAAGTATTAAACAAAACTGTTTTATAGGTGTTTTTACTCATGACATATTTATTCATTGCATCTTCTTACATTAATTCAGGCACATGTATTTCAGAGGGAAACAAGTTGTCTGAATTCAGACAGAAACATTCCTTAGCTAAACATATAGTGTATCTTATACTTGAATATTCTGTGTCTGAATTCAGGCAGCGGCATTCTAATCTATGAGTAACCTAAATTTTCACTGTATGAATTCAGACACAACTTGATAATACTGAATTTGTTTATCTCTTGTGTCTGAATTCAGACACAGGCTTTTCCATATTAGAAAACAGAAGCTGATTTCAACTGTCTGAATTCAGACACAATTTGATAATAGTAAGATGAATTTGTTTATCTTATGTGTTGTGTCTGAATTCAGACAGTGGAAATCAGTATCAATTTTCTCAGATTGAAATCTTGTCTGAATTCAGACACATAAACAAATTCATCTCACTATAATGAGACTGTGTCTGAATTCAGACATAGGCTTTTCCATGCTAGAAAACTGATTCAACTGTCTGAATTCAGACATGGACTGATCATAGTGAGGTGAACCCTAATTAAGTTATGCAATGTTGCATATGACCACATTATCCATACTTTTCTGACAGAAATGGACATAATATACTCTAATTCACATCAAAGTAGTTAGAAAATAACAATTTCTTTTTATATATGGTTCTCAGTGACAGTTCTCATGGTTTAATCTACTGTACATCATTACAAAATGTATATGTTCAACCTTAAGTTCATCAAATTGTATGTCTGACTACTTTAATAATATATTTCAGCACATATTTTTGAGTACACTCAGTACATACAGAAAGAGTTGTCAAGTTATTCCATTCCATTTCATTTGATTTATTTGATCCTTTTAACTTAGAGATGTTAACATACATTCTGCATCACATGATTGAAGCTTTTTAAAATTGATGAACTATTTACAATCAAATTATTTTGTTAATAACTATTATGATACTAGTATAGTAACTATATAGTAAATATAAAAGGTATAATATAAAATGTACAACCCAAGGGAAAAGTGAACCATGTCACTTTCACTTCATTTGATAGATCTTTGACAATTTGTAGCTGTCAAAATACTAGATTAATAGTATTTATCTGTGTGTCTCGAATTGTGGCGGGGGGGTGTCAATGTTTTTTTTAAATTTTGTTGTAAGTTGATTTTATTTCTGATTTGTTGTGGGATTCAATTAATTGGACTGTGTTAAAGCGAATGCTTAACTTCAATTTTAAGTTCCCTGTCAATAGTCATGGTACAGTAGATGCCATTGGATATAAAGTTTGCCGTGTTCAATTGATATCCCGTTAAAAGTAAATTTTAATGTCCAATTTCCACAACCAAACCAATCTTCACTGCTTCACCAGGACTCATTCTATATCCTACTATGTATTCCACCTCAAACTTCTGTCTAATTTGGAGGGGTCTCTGGTTTCCCCCTGATTTAATGGACATTTGCTTGTTACAACCTGAAATAGTATAGATTAAACAGTTTTATCTATGTTATCATGAAGACTCAACTTGACGGATGGACAGACAAAAGCAGACAGACACTCCTAATAATAAAGAAAAATAACAAAATAAGCGGGAAAATATCACACTTCAAATTTAATATGGAGTGTTATGGAATATAATAATTTGAGTGGAATATACCTTTTTGACCATTATTGTGTTTTGATTCAATGTAATGCTCATACCTTTTTCTGCAGACCTCGACTTTGTTCGTTCAATAATGCTGTTAGGATTAATCACTTTCTTTTTTGACTCATGTGTATGTCCTTCTCATATAGCCATGAGAGTTTGACTGGATTTTCTGAAATATTAATTATCAGTCTATCAATGTCAAGTAAGAATAAGTTAATTAATTAAGTAGAATTTAAAACAAACAAATTTTTTTTTTAAATTAAATATACATTTTGATGATGGTGTTACATACTTGCAGTGCAAACATAGATTCCTTCCAATATATGCAAACTCTCTTTGTTATGTTCACTGACTTTTGTCACTGTATAGCTCGGCAAGTCGATTATCAAATGATATTGGCCCTGTTTCAAATGTTGGTACCTTAGTTGCCATCTCATATTTTCCAAGTTAGTTTTGCATTGTGTTTTCTACCACAAGTAAATGCATCCAGGAGTGTTGTCTTCATAAGATCTACATCTAAAGCCTTCTCTTTTCAAGTATTAGCGGTTCTGCAAAATAAACAGTGCTAACATATTATTTGACCTCACAGACTTGACGTTTTTGTCTTATACAAGATTAAAAAACCATAAGAGTCATTATAATATTTTGAATTCTCATATTAAGCTGTCACCCAAGGAGGATTGGAAGCCAGGGTTCCAACTCAATATTCTTTAATCTCCAATCGATGCGATAGTTTCAGATCCTGCCTGTATATTTCTACGGCTGTCAGGAGAATGACTGATATTCTTGATTGAATTTTGTATTCATAACATGGCTATGTGATAATACCCATATATGAAACAGAATATCGATTGGCGTCACTGGGAGAAAATCCTCCTTGGCCGTCACATTAGTTATTTATGAAGAAATGTATATTATTTAGGGTCTGCCTAAAAAACAGATGACTGGGTAGCCGGTGACTCAGGGTACCTAATGTGTCTAGCAGGGTTACCAACTTTCAAAGTTGGACATTTTCCCCTAATATAGTAGCAAATTGACATGATAGCCCCAGCCTCCTAAGTGTAAACTATACTGTTCTATATTTACACATTATCTTTTTATCAAAAACCTACCAGAGACCAAGCACTTTTTGAATAATCGACTATTTTTTCAATATCAGAATACCTGGAAGGCATAAAATCAAATCCTAGCCCTGCTAAGAATGTTACCAAGTCAACTGGAAACCTCGTTATCCAGTCACCCCAATTTTACACAAAACCTTTAATTCTCCTCTCAAGCTTAACCCTCTTCTAAATTATTTTTACATCTTTCTATCCTACTCTGGACTTAAAATTATGATAAATTGACTTACCAAATTCACAATTCCCTGTTGATGTATCTGCCATACTGTACATAAGCATGTTCCAATAATCCAGTGTTTAACTGTTTAATTCAGATCTCTTTCTTCAAAATGTTAATAATTTCTAATATTGTCTGTTAAACCTGTTTCCGCCAAAAATTTGAATGGGTGTAACTTAAATCCCTTCTTTCATTGGATAGTGTAAAGTTTGGGTGAGTCTAATATTTCAAAAAGGGTACACAGTGATTCAATGGACTGATCTGAAAGCTTATTCCCTAAGTGCTACTAACTGTATCTGTATGCAATATACACCACAAAAGTAACATTAACATCTTCAAATAGAATAGTTTCCATTGGACAATTGAT